CTTCCGGGTCGCCCAGAAGACGGTGAGCCCCCGCCGTCTGGCCGTCCATGTCCTCGCCGCCACCCCCCCCGGCCCCCGGGAGGAGCCGGGTCAGACCCCACGTGTCTGTGACTGTCCAGATGCCGGTGCCGGCGCCCCTGGCCGCCCCGAGCCTGGGCGACGGGGAAGGCGCTGCCCTGGGGTCCACGTCGCTCCGGCTGCTCGCCCCCAGGGAGGCCAGGAGCCTGGACGTGCACGTGCCCAGCCTGAGGCGGGGACCCGCAGGTGCGTGTGGCGGGCGACGGGGGGCGGGGCCGGGCAGGGGCTGTTCCCAGGAGGCAGGTGGCAGGCCGGCCTCACGGCAGCCAGGGACCGGCTGGCCCCCCGCCCTCCCCCCAGGCGGGCCCCACATCTGGGCTCCCCACAGGACTGCCGGACGCCGGGGACACCGGGGCCGCCGAGGACTCCGAGGGCGGCCTGTGTGTGGAGTACGGGCAGGAGCCGGCTCGCGTCCAGCGAAGGCCCGTGGGGCTGCTGGCCGCCCTGGAGCAGAGCGAGCAGCTGGCCGGAGCGCCCAGGGCCCAGGCCGAGCCTGCAGAGAAGGAGGTGTGGGGGCCGGGCCCCGGGGAGGGCACAGCTGCCGGGCGCTGCTCAGACGCCGCCACGCTCCCCGCCCCGACGCCCCCGTGGGGGTTCTCGCCCGGGTCCGCTCAGGGCCCGGCCCCGCTGCGCCCTTTCCAGGAGCCTGGCGGTGGCCTGACCCCACGCCTGTCCTGTGGCTTGTGTTTCACTGTGGCCGGACCTGGAGACCCCGAGTCCTGCCGGTGCCCCCCGCCCAGCCCAGCCAGTGACCGCAGGACCTGGAGCCCCACCCTGCTCCCAGCTCAGCCCCTAGCCAGCCCCAGGGGAGGCCGTGGTGTGGCTCGGGGAGGGGGGGCCGGTGCTGTGGCGCACAGGGCTTTGGGGGCCTGAGGGCGGGTGGGGACCACAGCCGTGTCGTCCCCAGGCCCCCTGCCGCTCCAGCCCACCCCCACCCGGGGCGAAGAGGTCCGCTGGGGGGCCGACCGGAGGGCGGCGCAAGATCAGGGTGGTCAGCTGCCAGGTAGGTGAGCCACCCACAGACGTGCCTGGGGTGGCTGCGGCCCAGCCCGCACCCCCTGGCTCTGCCGTCTGCGGGGCAGGGGCGACCTCTGGACGCGAGAGCTGAGGGGCTGATGTGGGGGAGTGACCCCCCACCTTCGTCCTGGCTGCACCCTTTGCAGCAAGTCCCGGATGTGGTTTCTCGGTCCCGACAGTTCCCAGACTGGCCTGCTGCCCCCTCGTCTCCGTGTTTGGGGGTGCCGGGCCTCTGTCTCCCTCTAGCCTCCAACTGTGGGGCTGGGAACCCCCATGAAGCGTGGCACCAGCCTGCACGTCTCCTGCTCTGGGGGCAGCCTCTACACCCTGAGCTCTGCAGACGTGTGGTTGGATCCAGGCCCTGCAGACCCTGGGGCTCCCTCCACAGAAGGCCCCACCCGCCCGCCAGCAGCAGGGGCCAGGCTCCCGCCCCACAGGCTGCGTCGGGGTGGGCTGGCAGCTGGTGCCTTGCCCCCACCGCCCTGGCAGGGCTGGCTCTGGCGCGAGGTGGGCGCCGGTGTGCCCGCATGTGGGGAGGTCCGTGTTCAGAGCAGCTGAGTGACAGCTTGAGCCAGGAAGCCTCTGGAAAGCCCCGCGGCCGCCTGTGTCTGTCTCGCTTCTGGGAAGAGCCAGGCGGTGCCCAGAGGGTGGGGGAGGTGGGGGTGGGACTGCCGGGCCCCCACCCTTCCTACTCCCGGGCCCTGAGTCAGGCCTGGGTGCACACCAGGCGCAGAGCACGGGGCCCTTTCCGTCTCTGGGTCTGGGGGTGTCCTCCGAGGTCAGAGTGTCCGCCAGCCGTGCGCCGGGGGCGCTGCTGGCGGGGGTGGGCAGCCCAGGGGGTCCCAGCTGCTCTCGTGTTCCCCAGGGTCACGGCCTCCCCGCAGGCCCGGCCCGGCCGCCTTCAGGGGGACGCCCGACCGCCTGCTGGCTGCGCCCAGGGGCGCCTGGAGGGTGGCGCTCCTGATGGGGCTCCCGGCCGTGTGTCCGCAGGAGGAGCCGGCAGCCGGCGCCCGGGCGGACAGGGCCAAGCACTTCATGGCAGCTGTGAAGCAGGCGCTGGGCCAGGCTGGCTTCGAGCGCTTCGCCCGGGCCCTGCGGGAGTACAAGGGCTCGGACGACGTGCAGGCCCTGGCAGGCCACCTGGGCCCCCTCTTCGCCGAAGACCCGAAGAGCCGAGGCCTCATCCGAGGTGCCCGGGCGGGCGCAGGGCTGTCCCCGCCCCGGGGGGAGGTGCCGGTGGGCGGCCCGCGGCCTGGCCCCGTGGCCCTGGCCTGGCGCCCACGTGCCCGACTCCCCTCCCCCTCCCGACAGGCTTCTGCCAGTTCGTGCGGCCGCACCACAGGCAGGAGTTCGAGGGGCTCTGCCTCCAGCTGGCCGGCCGGGGCTGCGGCCCCCTTCCTGCGCAGAGCCTTCCTCCCAGGCGGGGGGCACGGCCGGCCCTGGACCGTGGTGGTGAGCAGGACCCCCCACCTCAGACCTGGGGGGGCGGCACCCGGGGTCTTGGCATGGGGCCCAGCCTCCTGTTTCCCGGAGAGGGCGCACAGCATGGGGGGCCTGGAGCCCTGCTGTGCCCCCATCCAACAGGGGGCTCTGCACCCCGGAGCTGGGGGCCTGTTCCTTGGTGAGCAGCGTGCCCTGGGCAGGGGCTTCCCTGGGGACAGATGTCACGGGGGCGGCTTTGGAAGCTGTCCCACTGTCCCGAGGAGGGACTTTCCACCCCAGAGCCGCCGCCCCTCCTGGGTGTGGGCCACCAGGCATCCCTGCAGCCACCCTTCTGAGCAGCTGCCGCCGCCCTGCACGACCCACTCCTCCCTGGGGGGTGCCCAGAGACCCTGGGGTCACCGGGAGACTCCTGTGTCCGTGTTTCCTCAGGACGAAGGGAGCCTGTCCCCAGGATGACCCTGTCCCAGGGTGCAGCCAGGCAGCTGGACCCCGGAGAGCAGCTGAACCAGGGCCGGCCTCACCTGGTCTGCAGGCAACCCCCTGAAGGTACTGGGTCTCTGAGAAGGCTTCCGACCAGAACCACTGGGGGCAGTGCTGAGACCCAGAGGGGTGGGCCCTCCTGGGGGCGGTGCGAGGGTGCTTTGGGGCTCCACTGTGGTCGGTCCATGTCCCCTCCCCACCAGGAGACGCCGGCAGCCGCCTGCACGAGGGCTGCGGGGCTCCCAGCCCCGAGAAGCGTTGTCAGCCTGCCGCCAGCGCCTACCTGGCCGACGCCCGCAGGGCCCTGGGGGCCGCAGGCTGCAGGCAGCTGCTGGCAGCGCTGACCGCCTACAAGCTGGACGACGACTACGAGAAGGTGGTGGCTGTGGTGGCAGCGCTGACCACCTCGAGGCCCGAAGACCTGCCCCTGCTGCAGAGCAAGTTTCCGAGGGGACGTGGGGTGCGGGGTGGGGGGCGGGGGGCGGGGCCTGAGCACTCTCCTCGCAGGGTTCGGCATGTTTGTGCGCCCGCACCACAAGCTGCGCTTCCGGCAGACGTGTGCAGACCTGACTGGCCGGCCCCGCCCCGGCACCCCGGCCACGGACACCCGGCCACCGGGACCCCAGGAGGGGGGCTCCCAGGCTCCCCCCGACCTCACCCTTGGGGCCACTGAGCCAGGTAGGGCGCCCCGTCCTGTCACTGGGGAGCCCCACTCTGCCCCGCGGGTGTGGGCAGCAGAGCGGTGCCAGGTGCCCCGTGGACTCATGCCTCTGCGTCCAGGCCCCTCCAAGCCAGAGAGGCCAGAGAGGACACAGAGCGAGGTCTCCTTCCTGGGACAGCAGCCGGCCAGCGGGGCAGAGGATCCCGGCCGGCCCCCCAGCAGCCCCCGCAGACAGACACAGTCTGCGCACGGTAGGTCTCCGAAAGGGCTGCTGGGTACAGGCCTCGGGGCCCCTGGTGGCAAGGCAGGGGATGCCCCCTGCCCGTGTCCCTCCCACACCGGCAAGCCGAGGCCAGGCCTCGAGGCCCTGGCTCCTGGGCAGCACCCGCTGTGGGGCTGGGGGACCCAGCCTGTGCATCCAGTGCCCTCTGTGTCCACAGGCCCCCGAGAGGACATGCTGAGCCAGACCCGCGGCCCCACTGCCAGGAGCAGAGCACCGTGTGGGTCTTCTGGAGACTGTGCAGGGCAGGGCTTCGCCAGCTGAGGCCGCCCCCTCCCTGGACATAGAATGGACACTTGCCTGTTGGCGGGGGGGCCAGGCCCAGCAGCAGCAGCCCCTTGGTCAAGAGCCTGCCCATCAGGGAGGCCGGTCCAGCAAGCACAGGGCGCCCCTGAGCTGGTAGCCAGGGCCAGACTGCCTGGGGGAAGCCCCGGAGCTCCTGTGGGGGGGGCCACGGGAAGGTGCTTCCCAAGAAGTTTCCCTGGCTGCTGGCGTGTGGGTGGGGCCTCGGGGTCCTGCAGCAGGAAGGGGGACCCTCTGCTCCCGTCCGGGGACCTGCTCTGGGAGGCCCGGAGAGTGGGCTCTCAGTTGGGGGAGAGGCTCTCGAATAAAGCACTGGCACCCCTGGACGCCTTCCGCGTGGCCTGGGCTCGGGGGTGGGTTGGAGGTGCCGGGAAGGAAGGGGTGCGCCTGCATGGGTGCCCCCCACCCCACCCCCTTCCTCAAGGGCTGCGGAGCACTCTCTCCAAACTCGGTTCAGCCTCCATCCTCAGGGCGGGACAGGAAAGCCCTGTGACAGCACAGCGGGAAGAGCGCGAGCGCCCCGCCCCCCCCCAGGCCCGGTCACTGGGTCACGAGCCGTCTCTGGCACAGGACAGCCCCCAGGGTGGGCCCCCGCACTGGGTTCCGGAGGACTGAGCCAGGCAGAACCAGACTGGGACACCGCCCACGCTGACTGGGTCCCAACGGAGCCCCCCGCCCCCCCACCCCGGGCCCTGGCCCCTCCCTGGGGTGTGGTGAGGCCGCCCTTATAGGAGGCGGCCGCGGAGGTGGAGCACTCCGCTGGCTGCAGGTAGCGGTCACTTGGGCGGGGCAGGCTTCCTCGTCCAGTCCCTCCGCCCCTTCCCAGGGAGGACCATGAAAGTTCCCGACAGGCCGCCCCTGACTCCACTGTGGGCACTGTTGTGTCTGCTGCTGGCGCTAGCCACGCGTGGGGGGGCAGAGGACGCGCCCACCTACCCGGTGTGGGACACTGACGCGCAGGAGCAGCTGCTGTGCCGCCGGTGCCCCCCCGGCACCTTCGTGCACCGGCCGTGCAGCCGGGGCCGCCCCACGGCGTGCCGCCCGTGCCCGCCGCAGCACTACACGCAGTTCTGGAACTACCTGGAGCGCTGCCGCTACTGCAACGTCATCTGCGGCGAGGACGAGGAGGAGGCGCGGCCCTGCTCCGCCGTCCACAACCGCGCCTGCCGCTGCCGCCCCGGATTCTTCGAGCTCTCGGGCTTCTGCCTGGAGCACGCCCCCTGCCTGCCGGGCTACGGCGTGGTCGCCCTCGGTGGGTGGCGGGCGCTCCGTGGGTGGCGCCGGGACTTCCTCCGCCAGCGAGGATGCCCCAGCTCCCTCTGACCCCAGGCTCCCGTGTCGCCCCCAGGCACCCCGACCCAGAACACGCAGTGCCAGCTGTGCCCCCCAGGCACCTTCTCCGCCAACAGCTCCAGCACAGAGCAGTGCCAGCCCCACCGCAACTGCACGGCCCTGGGCCTGGCCCTCAACGTGCCGGGCTCCCCCTTCCACGACGCCATGTGCACCAGCTGCCCAGGGTTCCCGCTCAGCATCCCAGAGTCGGAGGCACCGTGGGACTGGAGGGGCGCAGGTGAGCCGGGGCGAGTGAAGGGTGACTGGTCTGGGGGTGGCAAGCTCAGTGTGTGCCCCACCCCCAGCCCTCAGGCCGTCCGGCCCTGGACCCGTAAGGGGCTGGGTGCGCATCCGGGAAGTGCCTCCGGTTTCGTGGGGTCAAGGGCCCCGCAGCCCCACTGAGTGGTGCGGGCGGTGGCCCCGCAGAGCACGTTGAGGGTTTCTGTGGTGCCAGGTGACGCCATTCCCCGCCCGTCACTGGGAAACGGAGGCCCAGAGTGTTGTAAACAGCTTGCTGGTGGTCACAGCAGTTGCCCCATCCCACCCTGGGCTGAAGCCCACCAGCCCCACCCATGTCCTGGGCTCTCCCACCTGCCGGCCCTCCACCCCAGCCAGCTGGTCCCTCTCGGGTGCTGGCACAGGGGTCCTGCCTTGGTCAACGGCCTCCCCAGGGCCCTCACCTCGCCCCGACCTCCCCGCAGGGACGGAGGAGTGCGAGCGGGCCCTGGTGGACTTCCTGGCTTTCCAGAACCTCTCCTTCCGGAGGCTCCTGCAGCTGCAGCAGGCGCTGGCTGGCCCCGGGGCGTGGAGGCCACTGCCGCCCCGGGAGGACCGCGTGTCCCTGCAGCAGCAGCTGTGGCAGCAGCTCACGGAGCTCCGGGAGGCCCGGCCCGGGGCGCTGGTGGAGGGGCTGCTGCAGGCCCTGCAGGCGGCGGGGCTGCCCAGGATGGAGCGCGCCGTCCGGAAGCGGTTCCTCCCAGCGCCCTGAGCCCCGCCCCCTATTTATTCCTCGGAACCAGCACTGGAACCAGCACTGTCTCCATAAAGGTGCTTTGTGAACTCTGGTGTGTGAGAGTGAATGCCAGGTCGGCTCAGTGTGTGGAGGGGGCAGCACCGGCCCTCCGGAGCCCTCAGGGCCCTCTGCCCCGCGCACGGGGACAGGGCTCCGAGGTGGGAGGGCTGGGAGGTGGCAGGTGTAGCTGTTCCAGCTGTGGGGGGCAGTTCACCCCGTGAACCCTGGCTGAGCTCGCAGTGATGGCGACAGCGTGCAGGATGGCTGGGCCCAGCTGGGGAGCGGTGCCCAGGAGCCACCAAGTCCAGGGGCTCCAACGAGGGTCAGGACCTGGTGGCCTGGCCCCTCTCCCGGACTGCCTTCCTTCCGAGATCCACCCACTCCCCGCCAGAGGGGGACTTCCCAGGAGGAGCCAGCCGAAGACCCCTCCGTCCCACCAGCCTTCCGGGAACTGCTCTCCTTTCCCGGCACAACAGCAGCAGGGCCCCTCTGCTCCTGGTGGAAAGGGGGGCTGGGACTCCCAGCTCTGAGAGGGCCGCCTGCCCCTCCCACAGGCCCAGGACTCCCCCGCCGGACTCCCCCCTTTCCCAGCAGCCCCTCTCAAGCCCCTGGTGGAGGCAGTCTGCTGGGACGGGAGCCCTCCTGCTGCGGCCGCTGCACAGCCCTGGCCAGCGGAGGAAGGAGGGACGGGAGCTGCTCAAATGCTCTTTATTTCCCCCCCCACACACCCGCAGCCAGGCCTGCTGAGGGCAGCAGCTCCCGTGGGGCCTGGGAAAGGGGTCTCCGCCGGGGACGCAGGCCTGGGTGGGGACCCAGCTCCCCCTCAGCAGGGAGCACAGGCTTAGGACACCACCGACCCGGCAGCCTGGAGACCCAGCCCACCTTCCACCCCCTCCCCCACACACACTGGGCGCCTGAGCTGGTGCCCGAGATTGTTCCAGGTGAGTGGTAGGTGTGCTCGGGGAAGACACCCACTTCCAAGCTTTCCCACGTCGCCAGGGATCAACGTGGTCGATGTTGAGCCGGTGGGGTGGGGGGAGGTGGGATGGGGACACACCCTGAGTCTGCACTGGAACCACGGGGGACCCCGAACCCCACCCCAGGCAGGCAGGCAGGCAGGCAGGCCGGCCCGAGGAGGGTGGCAGCAACAGCACCCACAGGGCCCTCCATCCTGGCCTTGGTGGGTCCAGGCCTGAGGTAGCTAGCTGCAGGCCCTGCCGCCCCCACGCCCTGGCAGAAGCCCCCCGGGCCCGCGCTGGAGGACACAGAGGACAGTCTGTCCTAGAAAACAAGGGAAACAAGGGCCCCGGAGGCAAAGCCAGCCCCAGCCCAGGTCGGGGGCTCCAGCCGGCGGGCGTCTGGGCGCTGGCCGCGCCTACGTGATGTCCCTCCGCCGCGGCGGCCGGTGCACGTTCCGCACGACGCACTTCACCATCCACTCGATGCCCTCGCGCACCCCCTTGCTGTGGAGACGGGGGGCGTGAGCGGGGGCCGCCCAGGATTCCAGGGCCCCGGGGCGGGCCAAGGGCGCCACTCACCCGGTGAGGGCGGAGCAGGCCTGGGTCAGGCAGTCGCGCCGGCCGATCTTGGCGGTGCAGTCACTGAAGGCGGTCTTGATGTCCGGGATGGAGAGGCAAGTCTGGGGGCGGGGGCGGGCTGTGAGGAGCAGGCCCCTCCCTCCCGAGGCCAGTCCCGGGCACCCGAGGGGGAGCCGGTGGGACGGGAGCGTGGAGGTGGGGGGGGGGCCAGGACAAGGCGCGAGGCGGCAGTGTCCGCAGACAGGCGGGGCGGACCTAAGATGCCCCTGCACAGGGGGGGACGAGGCTCACTGGTGGTCCCAGGAACAGTCTCTGTCCCGCCCCAGCTGCCCCCTGCTCTGGGGGTGGGGCCGGCACTGCTGCCAACCCCTGGGGTCCCTTTGTCCTTTCCCTCCAGGCCTTCCCTGGCATCCCCTGGGTCTCAGGCTGCAGAACAGGGCGTGGCCGCCCCCCAGTGGAGAGAAGGTGCCCTGCAGGGCTGGGAGGGCTGCGAGCGCCCAGGGCGGACACCACCCGAGGGAGGTGGGGCCTCGGCTGGAAGGGCTGTCCCCACGGAGGGCAGGCTCACCTCCACGTCCTGCTTGTTGGCCAGCACCAGGATGGGGACGCCATCCAGAGCCTCACTCGTGACCATCTTCTCTGGAACAGGCAAGGCGTCCGTGAGCGCCCTTTGCCCCCTGACCCTGCTACGCCCAGGAGCCCTCCCAACCTGACACACCCGGCTCTGGACCCCCGGGATGTGTGGGCTGGACCTGAGCCGTTGCCCCCCCCCGCCCCCACCCATGGGCGCTGGCTGGGCCGCACCCACCGAAAGCTCGCTTGGACTCCGACAGCCTCTCCTCGTCCGTGGAATCAATGACGTAGATGACGCCGTGGCACTCCGCGTAGTACTGGGGGGGGGGGGGCGACGGGGGGCTGGCTCACAGGCACTCAGCCACCCTCCCTGCAAGGCCCTTCTGGGCTGCCTCCTGGGCGTGCGGAGGCAGAGCAGAGGAGCTGCTCCCTCCCGGACCCCTTCAGAAAGGGTGTGCTGGTCCCGGGCGGGGGGACCGCCTCCCTTGCCCACTTCCTAGGGGCAGACCCAGAGGTGCAGTACACCCTCGGGCCCCATGCAGGTGTGGACAGCAAATCAGTGCCGCGTTTGAAGCAGCTCTGTCCCCGGCACAGGACGGCAGGGCCGAGGAACAAGCCAGCGTCACTGAGCTGGGAGTTCTGTGGTCGGGGCCGGTGCGAGGTGGGCCGCCGGCAGCCAGCTCAGGGGAGCAGTGGCACAGGGGCCCCCACGGTCCCGACCCGCCGGAGCCCGAGTCTGGGGAGAGCGGCGGGGGCGAGGGGAACGGGGCGTCCCTAGAAAGACGTGCATGGAGCGGGGCCTCCAGAGGGACGGAGGCCTGGGCCTGGGGCACAGGGGATACGGGCTCGGACCGGGTGAGTCCGCCTGGAGCACCGACCAGAAAGGAGCCCCGAGGACGCCCGCACTGTGGAGGGGACGCCTGCCACCGCGTCCCAGCACTCCCGTGCGTCACCCTGCACAGCCAGGCTGCTCTGTGGGCGGGGCAGGATGGCCAATGGCCAGCTCACTGGAGGACGCTCCGGAACACTCCTGGCAGTGACCCCTCCCCACCTAAGACAGGCCTCGGTCTGCACCCACCACAGAGGCAGTCTGCACGCCCCGCACCCGGGCCCTCCCGCCAGGGGTGCGAGGGCTCCGGTTCAGGCCGGCCGGCCCGCCCAGAGTTGCTCTGCCTCAGGGTGACTAAATGGCCAAACCTTCTGGCCACAGGGCAGAAGCCGCCCTCTTGGCTGGAACTCACGATGGAAAGGACACTTGGGGGGCACCAGGAAGGAATGACTGGACCTGCTGCTGGGACCAACCGGGCATCAGGACCTCGCCGCTCAATTCCAAGCACCCAGACCACCGGACAGTGTCAGGGAGGAAGCAGCTGAGCCCCCAACGCTGGACCCCAAACCCCCATGCTGGCCCACCGGGAGGGGCTGCCCAATGGAAGGCACCGGGTCTGTCCTGCTCCCTGCAGACCCCAGTGCCTGGGGCGCACTCCAGCCCGGGCTGTGTGGGGGAGGGTGCCCCTGTCTCAGAAACACCCCAACCCCTGTGCCAAAGAGAAGACGGTGGCATCAGCCTCTGAGGACGCCCCTGCCTGGTGAGGAAGGGCCACCAGGGAGGGCAGGCCCCAGCGAGAACAGAGAGAGAACCCAGGTGGAGAGGTCCAGGCCTGGTGGTGACTGAGCACCACGCCACACCTGGTTCTGGGCCCCCTTCTCTCTCCTCCCGGACCGTTAGCAACACCTCTAAGCCAAAAGGAATCAAAAGGGCCCTCAGCATCAGAGGAACTCAGAACCCAGGACGGCATTGGAAGGGGAGCCTCAGGAGCTCAGGGGTGACAGAAGCTGCTGACAAGCAGGTGATTCCAAGGCCTCGTGAGGAGTTTGGGAACCAGGGAGGCATCTCGTGGGAGACAGCGCAAGGGGCTCACCTTGTCCCACAGAGACTGCAGCTCCTCCTGCCCCCCTAAGTCCCAGAACACGAGCCGAGCCTTCCCCACGTCCACGGTGCCGACTGGGAAGAGAAGAGGCCCACTGAGGCTGCCGCACAGCCCAGCCCGCTGCACACACCTCCTGGCCTCCAGCAGACGGCCCGCGGCTCCGACGCCCCAGAGCCGGGCCAAGCGCTGGTGGCTGCGGACGTCCCCCCATCCTCAGGGGACCCCACGCCCACAGCCCTCGGGGATCCCCTTACTGTTCAGACCCACGGTGGTGGTGATCTTGGAGAGGCTCATCCCCTTGTAGTTCTTGCTAAACCGGGTTTTTGACTGCTCCAGAAAGGTCTGGGGGGAGAGGGGAGACAGGCCCCGGGTGCTAAGAGGGGGCTTCAAGGCGGCTCCCCTGACGCCCCTCCTCGGGTCCATTCTGAGAGCAGACATTGTGCTTTTAAAGCAGGGGGTCGGGGGGGGGGTGACTGTCCCGCAGCCTCTGCTGGGGGCTGGGGACTGGGGACTGGGTCCCGTGAGGGCGGCGGGGGCGCGGCAGGGCCAGGCGTACCGTCTTTCCTGCATTGTCCAGACCCAGGATAAGGATGCAGTACTCATCCTTCTGGAACACATACTTGTACAACCCCGACAGCAGCGTGTACATCCTGCGGAGCGGCGGGAGCTGAAACCGGAACTTGGGGGCCGCCCGGCGCCCCCGGCCGAGGCCCCGCCCCCAGCACCTCCCACGTCGCTACCATCTCCGGGCCGACCGCAGGCCTCCGCCCCCCAGACTTCGCTCCCCGCAGCTGGCCGGGGCCCCAGCACCTTCCCCCGATTCGGCCACGCCCCTAGGCGGCGCAGGGCTCACGGGAGGGCCCCTACAGGCGACATACGGGGACGCCCCGCTTTTCGGAGGCAGGGGTGCGTGCGGTGGCGGGGCGACCGCGGAGCGACTGTGCGGCGGCCTGGTGGCGGCGGCAGAAGGTCCCGGGGTCCAACCCTGCCCAGACCCCGGCGTCGGGTCCGGCACCCAGCCCCGCCCGGGAGGCGGCGACCCAGCCCCGGCATACCTGCGCCTGCCCGGGCCGGAACCCGCGCGCCTGACCCGCTGACCCTGCACCGACCTGCGCCGCGCCGCGCGGCGCCCGATGGGAGGCGGCCGGCCGCGGGGAAGGGTCGCACCCGTCCCGGCGGCCCCCGCGCGACGCCTCCCGTCGTCCCCCGCGGCGGGCACTTCCGCCGGCGGCGGCGCCCGGAAGTGCCTTGGGCTGCGAGGGCGGAAGTCGACTGCCGCTCTAGCCGGTGAGTTTGGCGGACTCTCTATGGCGCGGCCGAGTGACTGCGCGGAGGAAGTTCCCGGCCCGGAGCAAGGGGCGCGGTCTGGACAACTGCGCTGGAGCTGACAAGTCCGGCGGAGGCCGGCGGGCCGGGAGGCTGGGGCGCGGGGCCGAAAGGCTGAGCGGCCTGGCGGCAGGACCAGGTGGCCGGGAGGGGAGCGAGGCCACTCGAAGCCGGTAACCTCCCCGCCTGTGTCTAGTCCCTGAAACGGGGGAGGAGTGCACAGGGTTCTGCGGGCCGCGCCGAGGACTCCGTGAGGTCTCGGGGCAGCCGTCGGCCGCGGGCTCGGTGTCAGCCGTGGCAGCGGCAGAGCCCGGGCTCACAGGGCTTCTCTTCCTCGCAGCTTTGCGCCCACCAGCCCCGTGAGGACTCGGGAGCCGCCGCGGGATGGACGAGGAGAGCCTGCAGAGCGCGCTCCGCACCTACGGCGCGCAGCTGCAGCAGGTGGAGCTGGCCCTGGGAGCCGGGCTGGACCCCGCCGAGCTGGCCGACCTGCGCCAGCTCCAGGGGGACCTGAAGGAGCTGATTGAGCTCACCGAGGCCAGCCTGGTGTCCGTCCGGAAGAGCAAGCTGCTGGCCACCCTGGACGCAGAGCGCGCGGCGCAGGACGACGCCGAGTACCTGGCTTTCCCGGAGGCCATTGCCGAGGCGGTGGAGGTGCCAGGAGCCCCCACGGCGGAACCCGACACTGCTGCTGAGGCAGAGGACGGGCCCGCGCCCAGCCAGTCTGGGCGGGAGGACGAAGGGGAGGATTCCGAGGATGACGGAGGGCTGAGCGGAAGCAAGGTGAACGCCCCCTACTACAGCTCCTGGGGCACTCTGGAGTACCACAACGCCATGGTCGTGGGCACAGAAGAGGCGGAGGACGGCTCGGCGTGCGTGCGCGTGCTCTACCTCTACCCCACGCACAAGTCCCTGAAGCCCTGTCCGTTCTTCCTGGAAGGCAAGTGCCGCTTCCAGGACAACTGCAGGTAAAGCGCCGCCCGCGGACGCAGAGCCGCAGAGGCTGGAGGCCCGCCGGGTCTGCCCTTGTGCAGGTGCTTCCTGGGATTTTCTCGGGCAAATCACGGGCGTGGCGGGGGAGCTTGTGTTGAAAAGAAGGACCCCCCCCATCACCAGTTTTATTCTTCAAGGTTAAACCTCTAAAAGTCACTCTTCTTATGGAAGTCTGCCACCAAACACAAAAGTGGGAGGGTGGCATGGTGGCCTTCCACACCGGCTCCCTTGGTCACGTGTCATCGTCTTGCTTCCTCCGCGATCCCTGCCCAGCTGTCTCCCCCCGGCTCTTCACAGCAAAGCCCAGGGACTCCTGGGTTTTCACCCCTAAACACGTCGGGGTGCGCCTCTCGCCTGACGGAGAGGACATGACAGCCTTGTTGCTGTGGCGATGCCCAGGGGGCGCAGGGCTAGTGCTGTCTCTGCATCGCTCCAGGGTCTGCGGTTGCGTGGCCTCCTTTCTCCCGGGGCGCAAGCTCGGCTCCGCCCCTTTACCTGTCCTTGGAAGCGCCGTGTGCTCCAATTCCTAGCAGGCAGCTTTCTTTTCTCAGCCAGCGGTCCAGGGTAACTGTCTCAGGGTAACTAGGTTTTCGGTCATCCTTTTCCTTTAAAGAAAAAGTTTCTTTCTATCCTCACCCGAGGATATTGCCGTTTGCTGTTTTAGAGGGAGGTGGGAGGGAGAAACATTGGTGGGAGAGAAGCTTTGACTGGTCGCCTCCGGACGCACCCAGACTGGGGACCCAGGCCGGGACCAGGGACTGCGTGCGTCCGCTCCAGGGGTCGAACGCGCCCCGACCGGAATCGGGCCCCCCAGGTTCAGTCACCGGACGGTGCTCCGACCACGGAGCCACCCCGGCTGGGGCAGTCATCCTGTTTCTTGAAAAGACGTTTGCTGGGTCCAAAGTCTCTTGTCCAGTTTCGCCTCCCTCGCTCCCTCCTTCCTCCCTCAGAGCACAGCATCCGTCCGTGCAGAAGAGGGCGTTGATCAGAGCGCGCTCGGCGGCAGCTCAGGCAGTGGGCCGGAGGACCGAGCCGTTCATCCTCGGGGCTGGCGGGAGTCCGCACACCTGCCTCCGTGATGGCCGGACGAGGGCGGAGGCCGCAGGTCCGGGCTGCTCCCTCCGGGCCGGGCTCTCAGCGAGCGAGCTCCTGCCTGTGCGGCAGCCCCGGGAAGCAGGCCTTGTGCCACTGAGACTGCCCGGCCTCAGGCCCACTGACCGCCCTGCCAGTACCTGGGACTGGCAGTGATTTTCTTACAGTTGGTTTGGATCTTCAAAAACAGTAATGTAGGTGGTGTTGAAGCACCATGGGACCCTTGGTCTGTCCCGGTGCCCCTCCTCGCTGGTGGCCGGGGTTGGTGCAGCTTCTGTGTGTCTTTCTGCACAAGTGAGACCGGTGGGCACACGCTGGCTTCTGCCCACTGTCCGGCCCACTGTGTCTGAGTGCGGCTGCATCCTCTCTGCCTGGGTCCCTGGCCTCTCATTCCGCCACCGGGGGACCTGGCCTCACCCCTGGTGAGGCACTGTTCTTGCGCTGAGGCCCCTGCTGACTGGCTTTTCTCTGTCCTGGCAGCAGCCGGCGATGCTCAGGGGCGCGTCTGCCCGCCCACAGGGACTGCCGTGCAGGGATTCTCTCCTTCTGGCGTTCCTTTCGTTCATGTGCTGGCACGTCACCCGGGGACGCTCTCCCTGGTCTGTGGTTTGGCTGCTGAGCGGCTCGGTCACGTGGAGAAGGCGGGGAAGTGCTGGGGGTCTCTGTTGTGTTCCCTTGCTTTCCGAGACAACGGACGGGCTCCCTCTCACTCTGGCATTGAAGACCCGGGGTGTCAGGCTCACTGGAGGAACTTCTATCCACCACGACTCTGAGCCTCCCTGAGGCGCCAGCTGTCCCACCTTTGGCAGGCGGGAGCCTCGGCAGTCTGGCGCCTGGGTCCCTTTGGCTCCTGTCCGTGGTGGGGACACCCCCTCGCCCCTGTTTTCCCTGCCCTGCCTGGACTCAGCCACCCTGCCCCCCCACCCCAAGCCCTGGGTGCTCTCAGTGGGAGATGATGGGGGCAGGGTATCGATGAGATTTTGGGGTTTTGAGGGTTATTTAGCATTTTCTATGTATGCAGTCACAGCACTGGCCGATAAGAGATGACCCCCCTCCTCCCAGTCTCACCGGGGAGTGGGGCCTGCCCCGGGCTTCCAGGGCCTCCTCCAGTGGAGCAAGGCCCCTTCTGTCCCTGAGTGGCCGGGTGTGTTTGAGACCAAGGGCCCTGGCACCAGTGCGTGTTCCTCCTTCGTCCTGCTGGTGAGCGTGTCCCGTGGAGCGACTTGCACTGGGGGCCTGTGCGCTCCCGGCCCAGGTGCGGGGCCCTCTGAGAGGCTGCTCCACCTGGTTCTCGAGTTCTGTGCTGAGCATATTTCCGTCTCTCCCTCCCCAGAGGCTGGGGTCTGTTGCACCCGTGTCTCGGGCCGTCTCCTGTCTCCGTCTGGCCTTGGTGTCAGGGTGCCGGTCTCGTGCGATGAGTTAGGAGGTGCCCTCTGATTCTGGGGACCGGTTTGAGGAGGACTGGTGTCCGCGGGGGTTGCCAGGAAAGCCGTCTGGGCTTGGATTTCTCGTTGTTGGGAGTTCTGTGATGGACGACGCAGCCTGTGTGTTCTGGGCCTGGTCCGTTCGCGTTTTCCGTTCCTCCCGGAGGCACCTTTGGCGGTCTGTGTGATTCTAGGAGCCCGCCCTTGCCCTCGGCTCTCTCACTGGCAGGCCTGCAGCCGCCCCCCCCCCCCCGCGAGCCCCCGCCCTTGTGCAGGTCCGGGCCGCGGCCCCTCCTTTCTGCGGTCAGGCTCCGGAGCCTCGCTCCCTTCTCCGTCAGTCCAGCTGAAGGCCACCGGCGTTACTTCATTCTCCGGCCGTTAACTCTACGTTGCTTTCCTCCCCTCTGTTTCGTTTACTTCCACTGGAGCGATTCCCTTCCTCGTGCCGCTGTGCGTCTAGTCCACTGTCTGTCCGGTCCCCGAGGCGGACAGCGGGTTCTCGGTTGGCGGTTTCCCCTTCCCTGAGGCCGGCCTTGGCAGCTGCCTGTCACCCGACCTCCCCCCGACCCCCAGCCGCCGTGGGCCCAGCCCCTGCTGCCGCCCGCCCTCGCGTGGGACGTGCCCCGTCTGCTCCTGGTGCCGCCGGTGCCGGTTCCCATTTCAGCCCCCGGGGCTCGCAGGCGGCTTCGTGTGACTTCAGGGCTTCCAGTTCCCCGCGGCCCCGCACGTGCCCGGGTGGCTCCGTGTGCCGTCTTTCCGGGCCTCTTCCGCCGGGGTCTCTGGGCGCCGTTCGCGGGGGCGCGGCGTCCGTGCGAGGGTGCGGTTGTGTCGCCCCGAGGGCTCAGTGGTTTTGTCTGTGTTTTCCTTTATCTTTTTTCCCGCTGGTGTCTTTTTGTGCGTGTTCAGTGTTCCTTTGTGTTAGTTCCAGGCGCGCAGTGTCGCCCTCCTTCCTCTCGACTCCGGTCCGCTGCCTGGCGCAGCCGGGAACGGTGCGCGGGAAGCCTCCCCTTTGCCACGCCTCCCCCTCCCCGTCGCCCCGCCCATGGCCACGCCTCCCCTCGCCCCGCCCCTGGCCACGCCTCCCCCTCGCCCTCGCCTGCTGTTGCGCGCACCTCCTCCAGGTGGCGCAGACGCGGAGAGTTTTATGCCCGTTGTTCGAACGCAGACTTTCAAGTAATTGCCGCTTAGCGAGGACTGACGCTGCCGTTTTATTTATTTTATTTTATTTTTTAAAAGATTTTATGTATTTTTAGAGAGAAGGGGACGGAGGGAGAAAGAGAGGGAGAGAAATACCAGTGGAGGTTGCCTCGCACACACCGCCCACTGGGGACCTGCGCGCGACCCGGGCGCGTGCCCG